AAATGATCAGAATAACATTGACTCCTTTCATAGCTGCCCTTAATAGCCAGGGTCATGAAAGCATCATAGCAGTTGGAAGACGACCTGTAGGAAAAGGCTACCAATGATGCTCTCGGGAAGTAAAAAAAAAAAAAAAATAGCCAAGAGAAGCAAAGAAAAAGAAGCCCTGCTGCCTTTACATATCTCAGAACTTGAGAAGAATTTATATACAATTTGGAAGTTTGGGGATGCAGTCAGGATACTAACAAGCAAATGGGCCGTAGATGTCTGGTGAGTGGAATGGAGATTTGATTTCAGGAAACCTCAGAGAAGTTTTAAGACACAGCTGGAGTGAAAGAACCCCTTTGACCTACAGGGATTCACAAAAATGTGTCGTTGGGCAAAATGTCAGAAATAAAAGGGAAAAAACTACTAACATTACTCTTCCTGGTTTAAAATAACTAAACTTACTTAGTCTTAGTAAAGTCCAGATTATATGCTGGGGGGCAACTATTACCTACTGTAGTGTCATGGATATTTCTGCATAAAACCAAATATCCACAACATTCTTAATCCAGGTCTTTTGGGGCATCAGTGAAAGAGAGAGAGACAGAGAGAAAAAGAGAGAGAGAGAGAGTGTGTGTGTGTCTCTGTGTGTGTGTGTGTGTCTGTGTGTGTGTTTATCAATAGGAGGAAATTATTTTTGTTAATGTCATTGTATTTTGAACTTTCTGATTCTGATTTCCCAAAGGAATAGGGAGATTTGAAGGAAGCAATAACCATCTTCAAAATTCACACTTTTAAATGAGTGTCCTTTTCTATATATCATTCATAACTGTAGTTTATCCACTTTATTTTTATCAAATACCTACTCTGCCCCAGGCTCTGAACACAGAGGATAGAGCAATAAAATAAAACAGGGAAAATATTAAAAAGAATTCTGATGGAGTTTGCATTCTATAAGGGTATAAAAAGAATAAACAAGTATATAAAATGAAAGGTAGGGATTGAGAAAGAAAACGGTAGGATAATGAGAATGGGGTGGGAGTTGCCCCTAAGCTCCCTGTGGGAGAGTGATGTGATATCAGCAGACTATGGTCAGGGGAGATTCCTCTAAGGTAAGATGTGACCCATAATTTGAAGGAAGTAAGAGAAAAGGCCACAGGGATATCTGACTGCGATGGCTTTTTTGAGGTGTCAGTTTGGCAAAGCTCCAGTTCCCAGTTACTCAAACGCCAATCTAGGTGTTGCTGTGAAGTTACTTTGCACATTAATTAAACTCCCTAGTTAGTTGATTTTAATAAGGCATATTATCCTGGAAAATAATGGTGGGCTCAATTTAATTAGTTGAAAGGCCTTCAAAGTAGGACTGAGACTTCCCAGAGAGAGAAAAAAAATTCTGCCCATAAACAACAGCTCTTCAGCCCATGCCAGTGGAATTCCACCAAGCTTATCATGCTCCTTCCCTGGCCACCTGCCTGCCCTACAATGTTCAGATTGGCTTAGCCAAGCCCCTCAAGTGCCAATCCCTGGTAATAAATAGTTTTATGTCCTATAGGTTCTCTCTCATTCAACTCTAGCTGATAGACTTGAGAAGAGCATTCCAGGCCCTGAGTTAAGAAGTTGCTTGGCAGGTCCAGGAGACAGCATGGAGGCCACTATGGCTTCAGCAAAGGGAGCAGAAAGGAATGGTGGGAGAAATAGTTTTGCTCTAGACACATTAGACACGTAAGTAGAGATGCCAAATGAGCATTTGGATATATCCATATGGAATTTGGTGCAGAGTTTGGACGCAGATATAAATTTCAATCTTTATGTGCTGCTCTCTTGTTCAAACCATTCTATAGTAGCAACCCAATTTCCTGTAGATAATATCAAACATCCCGATAACCTCAGGAAGTCAAGCAACTTTTTTTTTTTGTAAAACGTGATGCCATTCAAACTAAGGTATTCAACAAGTAACATCCTCAATGCCAAAACCTCTAATCCTTCTGTGAAAGAGGCAGGACATAAAAATACATAAAACTAAACATCAAGATGCCGTGACATTTTGCTATAAGACTAGAATATGGGACAAGTATAAAACATAGATTATAAGCTTTCCTTATGATAAAAACGTGCTTCATATATTTAGTTATGCTTAAAGGATACATTATCAGCGGGAAATAGAGGAGGAGTAAAACATTTTTGGCAGTTTCATAATTGCCTAAAAGTTTTTTTATGCAGATGTATGAGCTTTGAAGAACTTGGCTTGAAATGAAAAAAGAAAAAACATGTTTATACTTAACTCCTTTGTGAAAATGTTTTCAGGTAGCTAATTCTTCAGGAAATATGGCATGGTTCACTGCCAGTCAGAATAAATTAATGCATCATTTTCCCCAGGAAATATCTCACACCTGTTTCTAATATGTATTTGTTCCTTTGGACTATTTCCATGCACTTGGTTCACTGATTTCTCCTTTCTAGGTCTCCCTAGTCAAAAAGAATAGGGCATGACTACTAAACCCAGGTGGTCTAGAAATCTCCATCACTGTTGAATTGTGGTTGACCCCAGTGGGTGGGGGTGGATACGTTGTTTAACAAAACACACCACCCACCTTCTTTAAAGACAGAGACACACAGTCCTACTTTTCCCATTCACAGAGTTGGCTAAAAGATGCAAACATTAGGGTTGCTTCTTCAAAGAAAATGATATAGCAACTTTCAACATAAACATGAACTTTCATGCTCCAAGGAAAGCAGACCGTGATAAATCTCTTTTTGTGGTTCTGAAATCCAACTAAAGACACCTGAAAAAAAAACTGCTGGACATTTGAATGAATTTATCCTGACAATGTAGTGAAGTTATATTTCCATTTCTGTAGTGAATTTCTGTCATTTGATTGAAAGCCATGAATGCAGAAATAAATTGGATCTTGGATTCATTCATGCATACGGGCAAAAAAACATGTATTCAATGTTTATTCTGAAAGACAGAATCCTTGCTTTTATAAAGGCCATATCTCATGAGAAAAGCAGCTGAAATCACTGCAGAAATATGGCCAGTGTTAGAGAAGAGTTTGCAGGGAGAGTTTGCTACTGAATCACAAAGAAAGGAGAATCTTGGGATATAGGAAAATCAGGGATAATAGGCCAGGAGGTTTAAGCTAAGCTGAGCCTTGGGACCAGTAGAAGCTAGTTAAGTGGTGAGAGTTTTCCATGACGAAGGTGAAATCTGGAAGGTCAGAAATAGTGACTGCGTTCAGAGAATTTTAGGCAATCTACGGGGCTGGCACACGGCCTTTTGCGGAAATTGGGTGGCCGATGGTAAGAGATGATAGCTGGATAGGCAAATATTTCACAATAAGTTCATCGTACCTATGCTTGGTTATTTGGATTTTGTTTAAAGGCTCGGTTAGCCTCTGAAAGATTTCATACTGTAAGGTCACATGCTTGCATACACATTTTAGACAGGTGCTTCTGGCAGCCTTGCATTGATTGGGAGGGTACCAGGTTGGAGATAGGACAGATATGGCATAAGCATCATAAATAAGATAGTGATAGTGGGAATAAAAGGAAAGAGGTGAATTTACAAAATAGGTAAGGGAAATTTCAGAGAGTTTTCCAACATGTTTCCAAGTATAACAAAATGTATTAGCAAACGCGGGCTGCCATAACAAAATATACAGACTGACTGACTTAACCAACAGAAGTTTGTCTCTCAAAGTTCTGGAGCCTGGACGTCCAAGACCAAGGCATCAGCTAGTTTTTGTTTTTCCTGAAGTTTTCCTCCCTGGCTTTTGGATGGTTGCATTCTCGCTGTGTCCTCCCATGGTGTTTCTTCTGTGCACACCCCTGGCATCTCTTTCTCTTCTTACAAGGGCACCGATCCTATTGGATTAGAGTCACATCCTTCTCATGTGATTTAACCTTAAATACCTCCTTAAGGGCTCTATTTCCAAATAGAGTCACATTGGGGTTAGGCCTTCAACATATGAACTTTGGGGGGCATAATTCTATCCAATACTAAATGAGGACTGTTCTCAAATTTTAGAAAGTATGAATCACGTGATTAGATTTCTAGGGATATGATGATGACAATCACATGGCTCTAAAACCTTGGTGAGAGCCTCTACATCTTTTCCCCATCCTCCAGATAACCAGTAAGGATTTGAGGGTCTGGAGAGTGCAGAGTCACAGGAAGGGGCAGTCTGTGTTCCTGGATGAAGACAAGGAAGAGCAGGGCCCTTACCTTCCTGTACTGAGCTGTCACAGGAGCAAGGGAAGAGATGAAGTTTTTAAAATATGTTTAAAAATAGTTATATTGAATAAATTGATATTGAATTTGAGAGCACAATAACTACATAAACTATAAATCTCAGGGACAAGGATCATTCACAATCAGTTAAGTCATTTTGCCACTGGAAGTGATATTTTAAAACATGATTACCCTTTGTTTCAAGCACATATACATCCACTGCAAGAGTTAACTTAGACTGCTGATGCTAATAATCTAAAACTACAATCTTTGTTACCTTAAAAGACAATGTCCTTTAGTACTAGGAATTCAAGAGGAATATTTTAGGACCATTGGTCAGAAACTTTCAATGCTTGTGATACTACTTTGGTATACATAAAAGTTCCACTAAGACTAAGAAGGAAGAATGTTTCTGTTTTCTATTGAAGACAGGATCTTAGAAGTACTCAAGTGAGTTATTCGTCTGTTTAAGTTTTATTTTATTTTTAATTGACAAAAATAATTGTACATATTTATGGAGCACAATGTGGTGTTTCCATGTGTGTATACCTTGTGCAATGATCAAATCGGTGTAATTAGAAAATTTGTTACCTTAAACATTTATCATTTGTTGTAGTGAGAACTTTCAAAATCCTCTCTTCTATATAGGAACTAGCTAGACAACAACATTTTACCAGTACATGACTCTCATATATTAGCAACAAACCAAATTTGAAAAGCCTTAGCCAATACTACAAAAACAAAACATTTAGAGTAATAGTTTTAAATTTTTGAAAATGTCTTTAGTTATATAATTATAATTGACAAATTATATTTGCATATACTTAAGGGGTAGAAGATATAATCATATAATCTAAGAATGCAATATAGAATAATTAAATCAAGTGAATTAACATAACAATCATCTCACATACATCATTTTTGTGGTGAAAACATTTGAAATTTAATTTCTTTGCAATTTTGAAATGTACTATATTATTGTTTACTAGATTTACTAGGCTGTGCAATATACATTTATAATAATATTTGTGAATACCAATGTATTAGATTTATCACCTTCTATAAATATTCATCTTTGAAATGATAAAAGTGGGTTCTACCTGTAGTTCTTTTCTGACACGAGAAGTTGCAGGTGCATATGAGACGATCTACTGACTTTTCTTCTCAAAGTATTTTTTGGAAGCAGTGGGATTTGGCTTGGTTGTAGGAGAACTCAATATCTATTTGCCAGGCAGACTTCTCTGTGGATCTCCACCAACTGGCATGCCTTCACGAAGAAGGCAGTCTCTTCCATGCTTCAGCCATTGGGAGATCATTGACACTCATATACTTGATGATTTCCACTGGGGTTCTATTATGAAAAGACCCGTTAGTGGAAGGTCAGGACCTCCTACCGGCACATCATAGTCTCAGGAAATCTATTTATTTAAGTCTGACAAGAGTACAATGCTCGTATGGCCCAAACTGGCTTTCTTTGGTGTATGTATCTAGACGTGATGGTTATAATGAAAATCCACTGAAACTGCAACAACTTCACAGTTCACAGTATGAAATGCGTTGGCTGTCTCACTCAAAGCAATAATTTCTGTAGGACACACAAAGGTGAATGGCAAAGGATAAGAGAAGAGCATGAAATACTTTTTTAAGTCAAGCCTAAAGTCAAGGCTTAGTTCTTTGAACTCTTCCCTGGCAATGGCAATATACTTACAATAGTAGGTTTCTGAGGAACTTATTCATTCATTCACTCGTGCAATTGAAGAATACAGCAAATGTGAATTGAGAACCTTCACTGTGCCAGCTTTGTGTAGAAAAAAAAGATTTTAAGTAATGTAAAGTGTTTGTTCCTGTTGTCTTTTGTTCTGAACAGAGTTATACTAAGTAGATAGTGGAGAGCAAAGCAAACTTGCAACCACTTTCCTTTCTTAAAGAAGAAACATTGAAGGAGACAGCTACTACATGTATTGCTCGTCTTCACAATGTGTACTATGTCCTGACAAAATGTGTGGAATATTAAATGCCATACTCTGTGTCACGAAGATATTTCCTGATAATTCAGAATAATGAAGAAACAATTCATTTTGAGACATACTAAGACAAATGTATGCTCGGTAAATTTTTAAAATTTAAATTTTCTTTTAAAAAATTATAAATTTATTACCTTAAACATGTATCATTTGTTGTAGTGAGGACGTTCAAAATCTTCTCTTCTGTATAGGAACTAGCTAGACAACAACATTTTAGATTTCTGGGGATATGATGATGACATATATATATATATACACATACACACACACACACAGAGAGGTTGGTATACACACATATATTTTCATTTTTCATCAGCCCTAAAATTAATGATACTCCAGTAGCAAAGAGCATACCTATGTCTGGCTCCAAGTTTCTTACATTATTCTCCAAAAAAAGGAACCAGGGTTTCTTAGAGTGATGCTGATTTGAGGATTGGGGCAAAAGTACACAAGATCAGGCTGGAGTAGTGTTAGAAGGAAGTGTTAACAAAAAATTATGGAGGTATGACAAAGGGGCACAGAAGTCAGCTGAAAGATCTATCAATGACCAAAGCTGGAACAATTGGAGCAGAAAAATTAAGTAGCATTGAACTATAACCCAAAGTATGAAATAAATAAATACCCATGAGTTCACAGTAATATAAATGATTAAGAATAAATAAGTGGGGGAAGAATAGACAAATGTACTATGCAAAAGAATCTTACAGACAGTCTGCTCTTAAAGTGGTGGAACATAATTCCCCACTCCTTATGGGTAGGCTAAGCATAGTGATTTCCTTTCAAAGAATAGAGTGTGAAAAGAGGAAAAAGAATAACTTTCCAGGGGAGAAACGTGACCAAAAACTATCTCAGCCAGGTAATCAAGGTTAACATCAACAGTGGTAAGTCACCTTAATTGTATGTACACTTGATATGATGTGAAGCGAATGGCACTTTACCTCAGTGGTCTTTCTCCCAAGAACACATAAGTCAGGTCTAATCACAAGAAAAACATCACACAAAGTCCAGTTGAGGGGCATTATACAAAGCTTCTGAGCCGTACTCCTGAAAACAAGCAAGATTGTCAAAAATAAGATAATTCTGAGAAACTGTCAGAGCCAATAGGAGCCAAAGAAGACATGACAACTAATGTAATGTGCTATCCTGGATGGGAGCCTGAATAAAGTACAGTGTTGAATTTAGTTTATAATAGTGTGTCAATATTGGTTCATTAATTGTAACAAATACACCAAACTCATGTTAAATGTTAATAATAGGGGAAGTTGAGTGGGAATACATAGAAACTCTATCTTCATAATTTTTCTCTAAATCTGAAATTATGCTAAACTAAAAGTATACATACAAATACATATACATACATATACATGTATACATATATGTATATGTACATACATATGCATATACACATTTCATATATACACATATGTACACATATATGTACATGTATGTGTATACATACACTGAACTATGATATGCAATATAGTCTGAAATTTTATTGTATGAAAAATTTCATATAATACAAGAACTGTCTATCTTGTTTATCAGTGTTTCTCTAGTACGTTATACGGCACTTGTCACAGATTTTTTTTTTTTTCTTTAGAGGTAGAATCTTGTTCTGTCACCCAGGCTGGAATGCAGTGGCATGATCACGGCTCATCAGAGCCTCAAATTCCTGGAGTCTAGTAATCCTCCTGTCTCAGCCTCCTGAGTAGCTGGGGCTGCAGGCACATATCATCACAAAATTAGCCTGGCTAATGTTTTCGTTTTTTTGTAGAGACGGGGTCTTGCTTTGTTGCCCAGACTAGTCTCAAACTCCTGGCCTCAAGGGATCCTCCTGCCTCAGCCTCCCAAAGTGCTGGGATTACAGGTAGGAGCCACTGTGCCTAACAAGAACAAAAAAAAATTCTTTAAAAAATACTCATTTAATGGATATAGATACAGAACTATGCGTATTTGTGTATTCATGCATGTCTATATATCTTACAATTTATATTTATGTAATTATATTTATGTATCATTTTCCATGTTAAATGTTTCACATATATAATATTCACTGACTCTGTGATAATTTAGAAATGTGTTCAATTAAAGTCCCCAAAAGACTCCTCAATCTACTTGTATCAAAGTTTCAATTTAATTTTTTTCAAATAATTTGAGTGATTGCAAACAGTCATTTGCCTACCAGTGTATAAAACTTAAAAATGATCATGTGTCACTCAACAAGGGCTCATTCATTGTATGTAATGCACTTCCTTGTGAATTTCCTTGAGGTACTTGATCTATCATCTTACTCTAAATTCCTCTAAATGCCCCCAGGCCTAATTTTAGTTGAAGAATGTCATGTTAATTTAGAGAACTGTTTTGAACTAGTTTATGTTTACGTATGCTTGGTGTAACCGTGAGTCCTATGCTCTTTGTGATTAATATTCATGTTTGTAAGTGTGCTGGCCAATATATATATATGATAGTCATTTTCCTGAGCCAGTGGTTTTGATTCATGGTCACAGAGACGTTCCTGATAGGCACTGAGGGTCTGGATACAGGGAAGGTGTGTATAATCTCCTGCGCATCGGGGCCAGTAGTACATAGATTCTGGCTGTATACATGTCTCAGCAGTTTAAAAACGTTCGTGACTTTTCATCTGAACTTTCTCTTTACTGAGGCATGCTTGGACCTTTGGCTCTCTGAGTCTCTCTCTCAGTTTCTCTCTCTCTCTCTCTCTCTCTCTCTCTCTCTCTCTCTCTCTCTCTCCCTGTCTGTCTCTTTCTCTCTCTTTTCATCTGTACTTTGAAAAACGACTAGGCCTCGGCCGGGCGCGGTGGCTCACGCCTGTAATCCCAGCACTTTGGGAGGCCGAGGCGGGCGGATCACAAGGTCAGGAGATCGAGACCACGGTGAAACCCCGTCTCTACTAAAAATACAAAAAATTAGCCGGGCGCGGTTGTGGGCGCCTGTAGTCCCAGCTACTCGGGAGGCTGAGGCAGGAGAATGGCGTGAACCCGGAGGCGGAGCTTGCAGTGAGCCGAGATCGCGCCACTGCACTCCAGCCTGGGCGGCAGAGCCAGACTCCGTCTCAAAAAAAAAAAAAAAGAAAAAAAGAAAAACGACTAGGCCTCTCATAGTGTTTTTGATTCTTTAGTCGGGGGTGAAAGTAATACATTTAGGAATAGTAATTAATAAATAGGAGTAGGCTGTTTCCAGTTTTGAATGCACAGTATATTTATTATTTTATAAGATACATAAAGAAACATTTTTCTCTCCATTTATATGGTATTCACTGACTAAAGCAATTGAAAGCATTAACTACAATACAGTGCTATCACCATATACAGTTATAGCTTCTATTTTATGTGAATAACTTCATGGTTATTTATTTTCATGGCTTTTCTTGTTGCACAGGACTTGAGAAGAAACCCTATTTTCTAAACTGCCGTGGATGGTGTCTCTAATCCACTCACACCTGATCCATGACGTGTACACAGTTGCTCCTGAATGGGATCAGATACTTGATACTTATGTGTATTTCATGGCATCTATAAGCGACCTGACCAGCTGTGGCTTATGTGCCAAGTGACAGATAGTTATAATTAGTTCGCTTATCCAACAAGTCTTTGTTGTACAACCACTGTATGATAGGCATTCTTCTAGGAATTGAGGCTGTAACAATTATTAACATAAAAAGAGACTTCATTCTACTCTCATGGAGTTAGTTACTATTTTACTACGGGAGAGACAATTAAAATGTTTTAATAATCATTATGTTAAACAGTGATGCAAGCTATAAGAAACAAAAATAAATTTGAATGTGTTGAGAATGGCAAGAATATGTTGTTATTCTGTGTTACATTATACTTTACCCATAAATCTGTTACCATTTACAAATAGCATTATGCGGGACTGTGTTTCCATTAGCCCCCACAAGGGATCTCATACTTCCTTCTGTCTCCAGCACACAACAGTGAGTGGCACGCAGTGAATGCTGGATGACAGTGGAATGGTGGAAGGATGAGTGGATGACATTTGTTAGTAGTTTGATATCTCTATGTAGAAAGTGATACACAAAGATAACTATAAGAGCATTTAAAAATATTAGGAAAATGTGCATCAATTTCACAATTGTGAAATTCAGGAGAGAAATAAATGAGAAAGTTAAAAATGATTGATATTTAAAGGCTCATTTTAACAGAGAGCATCAAGACACAAAAAGAAAAAAAAATCAGTGAAAATTTAAAATGTTATGAATAGGACAAATTTCTGTTGCTGGGACTGAATCAGATAATTTCTTTTAATCATTTGGTTTATTGCTTTGCAACTCATCTATGCAGCTGGAATCTGGAAGTACCAGTTTTACATAGTATAAAAACTGCCCTAATTTTTAAGTTGGACTGAGTACATGGATTTTTCTCCATTGGTTCCCTGCCAAAGGAAAAAAAAAAGGGAAAGTACTTTCTCAAGCTAATTATATCTATGTTTAATAAATAATTAAAGTGATGTGTCCAGGAGTAATAATATGTTGAATTTAAAATTTAATTAAAAATTTTTAAAACAGGAAACTCCCATACCACAATTTCATATTCAGTATATTTCAAGGTATTCAGTAGATTTGAATGATGAAAATTAAATAAACCATTACAAATTTTTGAAGAGTTTACTTTTTCAAAACAGTCAAATCAGGTCATGATTGTTTCTTGATGTCATAGTTTCTTTGGACTTTCCTAAGACATGTAGAGAGAGGAAAGGCAGGGACAGTTCTTTCAAATGTGGCTTCAAGAAATATTACTTTATCTTACTTCTGTGAACTTGCTAGGAGAAAAAAGTACTACTTTATAACGGAAGCATCGTGTGTGACTGTGTGTGTGCACAAGTTGTATGTGTCAGAAAGTGTGTGTTTGCTTACGTGTGTGTGTGTACCTATATGTGTTTTCATGCTGAGAGCACTAAGATAACATAAAAGCTCTGGAATGTTTTGGAAAAACCTTACTCTCATGTGATAGGGGTAAAGATTATTAGATACTTGCTGTTGACATATCAATCCTAATTATAGAGGCTCAGTGTCTCAGGGTGATTCTCTCTTTAGACACTCGAAAACACTCCCATTGAAAAGAAAGACAGTTGCTCAAGTGTTCTATTTTGTTTTTAATTTGCCTTGAAGTCATGTATTAATGCATGAGGACCGCAAGAAACAGGGTGGGGAGGCTTTAGCTCTAACATTTGTTTTCTTACTATAATGCTACAGGAGAATCCCTGTTTTTTTGGCCTTCAGGGAATTGTGCAAAAGAATACCTTTTGTCTCAATTTCTGATAATTGTAGAAAAGGCAAATTGAGTGCCTAGAATAACATTTTCTCCTATTCAATTGCCTAGTTTTTTATATTATTTCTGTGTTTCCATTGTATAACTACGTTTTACCAGATGTCTCTCAATTTCAGAGATTTATAAGCCTTCAAGAAAAGTGTATACAACTATACAAAATAAACAGAGTGATCACTACAACTTTGTGATCATCTGCCCCTCATCAAAAGCAGGAGATAATTAACAACCTTCCGTTTCAGTTAAATTCATGGAAATATTTAAATGACACTTCTGAAATGACTTGGGGTTTTATACATACTGAGATTGTCATAATCTGAAATTCCATTTATCAAAAATCAGTACCAATCTCGGTGGCCTAACCAGAATGAGTCACTCCTGGAACTACTCAAGGATTAGTTATTACTATAGCTTAAAGGAATAAAACTGAATCAATGAACAGAAAGTAAATCTGGACATTGCTCCAGATATGGCTCAAACGAACCGGTTATTACATAAGCTAAAGATCTGTGTTGCTGATAATAGAAACACCTAGGAGATTAGAAGGATTAGTTTCACAAGGCACCACCCCAAGCAACTGAAAAATGTTCTAGTACAATGCAAATTCTCTTAGTGTGATAATAATTTTTTCCTTGGGCATTGAATATTTGCAGACTATTGACAATACCCTGGGCTCTGTTTGAAGCTCAGAGAGGAATGGCTTCTGGGTGGTACATAGTTTCCCTCTTCCACCCA